CGCCGGTCGAGACGGCCCACGAATTGCCGGAATTACCCGAATTAACTGTCCGCCAATTTTATGTCGGATCCCACTTCGTAATAGCCCAGACTAGTGAGCACCGAGTGTTTGTTTGGGGCCATTTGGGTGAACATGGAAAGCCTGTTAATAAACGTAACTATTGTAAGCCTCACAAGATCTTATTCGACAATATTTGTGATAATATTGTAATCACGCAAATAAGTTGCGGCGTTAGTCACGTACTAGTACTGGACGATAGAGGACGGGTTTTTGGGTGGGGCTGTAATTGGTGCGGGCAGCTAGCCGTCGATCCAAATGTATTTATGCCAAACGCAGTTGAAATACAATTTCCGGAACAATATGTCATTGAAAAAGTTGTCGCCTCTTATTGGGTATCATTTGCCATTACATCCGATGGACAGGTGCTTATGTGGGGTGAGAATGTGCAGGCTACTAACAACAATTATAAACAGGCCTTGATACCTAATTTATACGCTGTCAAGAATATAGTGAGTCATGGTTATATTTATTTTATTAATAAACACGGTGATTTATATAGTTGTATCTACGGAAAAGTGCCTTTAAAAATAACTAGCGAGAACATATTTTTCGAATTGAACTATGCTAAATCGTATCTAATGGGCAATTCAATAATTGCGTGCACTTTTGATAATGTTTTTCAAATACTCGAATCAAACGAAGTACAGAAAACAATTCATAAAACATTTGATAAATACTATGTAAATGAAATGCAACAAACCTTGCACACGGTTTTCAATATTACAGATTCATCGAGTTCATTTTCCGGTAATAATTATAATTAGAAAATTAAATTATTTTTAATTATTATAATTTTATAATAGGCCAAGTAAATTATCATGATAAAATATTCAAAATAATTAGACATTTAGGATCCGGGGCTTACGGAGATGTGTACGAAATAAGCGACAAATATGGAAATAAATATGCTTTAAAACAATGCAATTTATTCGGTATTTATTAAATATAAGTTTTAGGGAACCAGGTAGGCGCTAGATATTTTTATTTTTAATTAAAGATTTCACTCAAATGTCAATTATTCACACAATACAGTATTCATAGGTTTTTAGTTTAAAAATATATTGAATCAAATTTTTTATTAGAAATAAAATTATCTAGCGCCTATCTGGTTTCCTAAAACTCATGTATTTTAAAATATTTATTACAATTAATTTCCAAATAGGTCTGGATGAACATGAGCGCCAAAATTTGTTAACTGAGAGCAAGCATCTAGTAAAAATTCGAGCCCCATTCATAACCAGGTTCATTAACTCATGGCTGTCCGACAACTATCTAAACATGCAAATCGAGTTATGTTCAGAAAGTTTAAAATCACTATTAATTAAGAAACAAAAATTATTCGCAAAATTACCGCAAAATAAACCGATGGCTCGGTTCGAGTACTTCTTGTCAATGGACTTATTTCGCCAACTATTAGTGTGTGTCAAATATTTGCACCATGATCATTTAATGCACAGGGATCTTAAACCCGATAATGTTCTAGTTAAAATGACCGATAAATATAACGTGAATGCTATTTATCTTAAAATCTGTGACCTTGGTGTGTCAAAAATTTTTGATCACCTAGATAACTATAGTCCGGTAACTAATACGTCGGAAGTCGGCGATGCTAGATATATGGCACCGGAAGCCTTGGGAAGTGACTATAGCTATAAAATCGATATCTATAGCACCGCCATAATTGGTTCTCAAATTTTTAATTTTAAAATTTCTGACGTTATCGCTGGAAAGTAAGCCAGCTACTCTATAATATGGATTAATTATATAAATTTTTAACTTTATAAATTTATAACTTTTTAAATATGCTTTACTAATATTTGATTTAGTGTTGCGTCAATTAACACAAATGATAGCGAATTAAATGAATTCCTACTAAAAGCTTATAATATATTGTTGTCGATGAGCTATAATGAGTACCGAAAACACGGATCAAATGATTGGAGAGATAGACCAGAATGTGAGCACATTTTGAGGCAAACCAACGATTTGGTTATAAAACCAGTTCTACTGACAAATGATTTGCAAATGTTTGACACTATCATTGAAAGCAAATGTCAGTATTTTTATCATAAATATACTGAATGCAAACCATACTTAATCATCAAACAAACTGGTGAAGTTAATTTTATAAATTTCATTTCAATTTTAATGATAATTTATTAATGATACCTAGATACAACTTATGAGATGCGTGAATCCCTATTAAAATCTTGCGATAAAATTCATGTAATTGAACCAACATTCGATAAATTCAAGTATTTATTCAAAAATCGCCTAGTTAATAACAATTATAATTATTCATTGTTAGCACTGGATGTTCCAGGTAATAAAATTTGTCATTAATCATTTTGATTTGTCAAAATTAAAAATATAAAACAAAATTTTAATTACATTATAAACTTTTAATTTGTAAAGAATATAATCAAGAAATGACACAAATTTGGCAACAAATTCGAGACATTATTGATTTGAGACCAGAATATTCTATCAAACACTTCAACTCGTGGATTGAAAATAATTTTATTTTTATTCAAACGGAATATTTATCGCAAACATTGGCTCATATTATCGACNTAGATCGAATTAAAAACCTTAAAAATTGTTACCTTGCACAAATGGACAAGTATTGGATAGAGAAAAATCGTTTCTGTTTCATACAAATGCCTTTCTATGAGAACACATTACTCGACATAATGATCGCTAAACCACACGCTTTCGGTCGAAAATTTGGTCAAACCATGGATTACATGGAGTTTTACATAACGTGTGAATTGTTCGCCCAATTAGTCGATGGCATGAGTTATTTGCATGGCTTGAGTCCACCGATAATTCACCGAAACCTCAAGACTACCAATATATTTGTCACCAGCGATGGCCTGGATAACTCGTTTATCAAAATAGCCGATTATGGGTTCGAAAAGTTTGATAAACTGGGGGTCAAACCGGTTGCTAAAAGTGGTTACGAGGGTCTGTCGAAATACACGGCACTTGAGGTTATCAAAGGCCGTAAGTATGGACTTAACGCCGATGTCTATAGTTTGGGTATTATTGGCGATGAATTTTTTGAAGTCTATTCAAAAATGTAAGTATAAATTATAAATGTCATTTAATTTATCATTTTTACCTTGCTTATTATCTGTTTTAGTGAATCCGATATAATGGAAACAGATTCAGCTGATACCAATAGATTTACACAAATAGTTGAGTTATTAAAAAGTATGCAAAATAGTCCAAAATGGTGGAAAAGACCCTCGTGTTTGGATATATTAGAAAAAATAGATAATCTATTAATTGATCAAGATAAACTAACATCGGAATCAGATTTTGCAGCTAAACTCGCTATGTTAGAAAAATATAAAAATCCCTTATTTTTTAATCTTATTAAAAGTAGAATTGATAGTTAATTTTAAGTTAATACAATATTTGTTGAATTCTGCTAATGTATTATAAAAATTTAATTATGTTATGCTAAAAATACAATACAATTATATATTACCTAGTAATATCAAAAATGTTAACAAATAAAATAATTATTATCAACGTTTTATTTTATTTAAAAATAGTTTTCTAAACTATTATAATAATTACTCTAATAATATGAAATATGTTAAAGTAATTGATCGAAGCTTATTAATTATTTAATTTATGAGCTTAACAATAAATTTTTATTATAATAAATAGTAATTAAGTGATTATCTGCATATAATAATATAATTTTCTTAATCATAAAAATATATAATATAAAAAATAATTTTTAAAAATTAAAATAACTAACATTACAGATCACTATGTTAGCTATGAATGACAAACACATTAAAATCGATACAATATCGTAAAATAAGATATTTTAAAAATATTATATTAAACTAGTATTTGCTACACAAATCAATAAATACTATTGATTTGTAATTAGTATTTTATTTTATTTGGTAACATTTCAAAATAGTTTTATAATTAAGAAATAGTTTGCACAACAAATGGATAGGTATTGAAAATACTCGTAACTATTCATTGGAAACATATCATAGCAATAGAAACCGATATCTGGACCAATGGTCAGACACTCAATAAAAGTCATAACCTTTAATTTATATTTTACCGATAATACAGGTGCCCGACACAGGTATGATAATAAGTAGGCAACAGGTTTATGAGCTTCTTTTGATACGAATATACTGATGATGAACATCAATATAACCAGGGTCAGTACTAATACTAGAAATATTCCACATGCAACTCGTAGGCCCATGTTAGCACCCGGCTTATGGACTGCATATATACATAGTTGGATACCAATAGTTGCAAAATAATATATAATAAAAATTAAACCCCGAAAAAAATGGTTCACTTTTCGGGTCTCTATTTCCCAGTAATTGTGTTCAATAATAGCCGCCCGTATTAAGCGGTTATTGTTATGTTTGATGAAAAATATGAATAATTTTTGAATTTCAATAAATTTATATTTCAGATAATAACTTATTGTATACCATAATATAAACCCTATCCACACCATACTCATGCCCTGGACTATACTAAGAATTGCCATTATATCAAATAATACTTTAATAATTAAATTTAGTAAGCTAGGGCTTTTTAAAAATATGATTGTGGTCAGTGTGAAGTGAAGTATTGAGTACGTAAGTAATAGAAATAAAAATATCTGGTTTATAAAGTATTTTGCATACATGTTAGACACGAATGCAATTTTTTGCAATCTGTTTGTTTTTAGCGGATACTTAAATAAATTACTTTTAATTTTATAATAAAAGTCAAGAAAATATAAATCTTTTGACAAATCCTGGTATAAGACAAACACACCGATCAGATGTACGGATAGTATAACGGATGCCAGTAATGAGTATAATAGGTGTTTATTACCAGAAAATATGCTTAAATCATATATGGGTTCACTTATGAGGGCCGATACCCCGCATCTAATCACACAAAATAGTGTTGCAATTCGTGTTATAATAACACATATTAATCGCCATTTGGGTGGTTGTGATCCCGACATATATTCATCAATACTTGTGAATACAGTTATGAAAGTATTTCCGGCGAAACTCATTTGTCTGTCAAGACTGCTCTCAATATGACTGTTATTTTTGATGAAAATTTCAATTTTTGATTTCACTTTTCTTTTTATGGATTTTATTGAGTTGATTATCAAATATAATATATAATATATATAAAATATTATTTTACTTATCAATGTAAATAAAATCATTTTTGCTTAAATTTTATATATTTAGTCTGCATTTACATATTATTTGAATTATTATTACAGTGATCACTGATCACAGTTAGTATCAGGCAATATAAATTTTATGACATTACTATTAGTAATAGTCTATTACTGTATATTTATTGTAAAATAATCAATAAGATAAAAGTAACGGTAATTTAAATGCAGCTACACCATTGATTTTTAAATAGTTATTACCTAAGAATTAATAATAATATTTTTTAAAAATATTTTTTAACAAAATCAATAGTTCATAAATATAATAATTATTATTATAAAGTAATGATTTTATTTGAAAAATTATTTAGCACATAATTTAGAAATTATGATTAAAAATAAAAACACATTCTTTCTATGAAGTACAATAAAAAAAATACTATTTAGGTATATTATATAATACATAGTAGGTAAGATATTAGTAATATAATTTATTTAAGTATTAGTTTAAAAGGGAATTAGTCTAGAAATAAAATTTGATTAATTTTTTCAAATTATGTTTAAAATTACAATTTTATTTAATTATTTATTTTATTAACTT